ACAGAGAGTTGCTTCTTCACAAATTGACAGTATATAATCACACCAGCACTTTTATTTAACTTTGCACATAAAATTTGTGGATGCCTCTGACCTTTTGTTTTGATCAGTACCAATACTGGACATACAACACTCACTGTAATGCAGAACCTCACTGAATATTACCTGAGGACCAGAGATGCCTGTTCTTTTTCACTGTCTTCATTGTCAGGGTTTTCTGTAAGATAATTCAGAAATAGTCACTCAAAAACTGAGTACATGCACATCACCCATTAGAAATATAGTGACTCGCTATGCACAGAATCGATATATGTATGAGCAGGAGGACTTCATTTCTCTGAATGAACCAGGTGAGAGTCTATTGCAGCCAGCACTTCACTCTTACCCATCATACACCTGTAGTCAAAATATCATGCAGAAGGGTGCAGAACTTGGACAGAAAGCTGGACACTGAGAAGCCTTTAGAGAGGGGATAGCCCAGGATAAGGCTCACTAAACCAGAGACTAAACCATAACACTGTGTCATGCTCTCTCACGTATCACACCTACACACCTGGAACAGACTCTGATGGCATAACTAATGAACACAGAGAGCAGAACTCTCACAAGAAACACACTTGAGAAGACAAAAATAGAAATAGTTGAGGGATCTTAGTCTATGGCAAGGTATCTGCAGTATACACAAAACATGATCAACTCACTCAAATAAACTGAAAACTTCCATGAATTCAGATTTATTTTCATTTATGTCATCCATTTAATCATCTGTGGATTTTAAGAAAAGTTTGAAGAATTCTCAAGACAGAAAGGATAGGTATTGGACAAAGGTCCAGCAGATAATTGGAGTTATGATTCCACAAAGATAAAAGCAGTATGATTAATTTGTTAACCATGGTAACTTATAAAGACGTGGACTTAGCTCACGGTTTTGGAGACTGAAAGTCTAGGCAACCCCTGCTATCCATGGCAAGGCTGCCTCTTGTTTCTGTGTTCCAGTTCCTGGTATCATAGTGGTGGGATGCACCAGAGGGGGAGGTCTCATGATGAGACTGGAAGCCAGAGAATGGAAGGGACCACTGATTATATTTCCTCAGGGTTCAAGAGAATTTAAT